TTGGTTGAAAGTAATACTTTAGCCGCCATGTTGGAGGAATTCAATAAATATTTTATCGTCGGTTTTAAATTCTCTGTCGTTTTATCCAACATGGCTATTTCTACGACATGAAACCAGAAAACAAGAGATCAAAACAACTTCCAAGATTCTACAAGCCATTAAAGTGCTACTATGACGAAAATCGCTCAAACTTGGATTCAGCTGAAACTTCCTAAGAATACTCTTTAAAGGTCCAATAATCACTGTATGAAGTGTTTTCTCGATATTCAGGACGAAAGTATGATATTTTTACGATTATTTTTTGGAGTCTGTGACGTCATACACTCAACATCAAACATTGCTACATATATTTCTTTGTCAATAAATCCTTAATTTATTTTATTCCTATGAAGCCCAAAGGGTGGCTTATGTGCTTATTTCACATTACTTGTGACTATAATTTATATTTTGGGGTGTTTGGGTATTTCTTTCTCCCTTTACTACTGATATTTAGATCATAAACTACAAAGAAATGTATGGAGCGATGTTCGATGTTGAGTGTATGACGTCACAGACTCCAAAAAATAATCTTAAAAATATCATACTTTCGTACTGAATATCGAGAAAACACTTCATACAGTGATTATTGGACCTTTAAAGAGCATTCTTAGGAAGTTTCAGCTGAATCCAAGTTTGAGCGATTTTCGTCATAGTAGCGCTTTAAAAACGCTGCTATTACCGGAAGTGACGTCTATTGATAGCAACATATACGAGGTATTGACTAAAATCCCTTTTGGTCACCCTGTGGTTGAGTCACATAGCTACTTTCCCTCCCCTCCCCCATGACAAAGACGCAACTTTGTTAGAAAAATCAAACACAAAACAGGATGCATCTGAAATAGATTAATGATGGCGGAAGAAAAACATCTGCTGATAAATGCTTGAGGAAACAGCTTAGGTTCACGTGTCGCGTACTCACAGATACGATACGTGCTGATATGAGCACTTTATACCGCTTATCTTCTTCAGAGCAGACTTATGCAGTCAGTGTTAGGTTTGCTTGTAAAAATCGACAAAGGACACAGCGTTTTAGAAAGATTGACCGCCTTATGCAGGTCGAGTCAGAAAAGACTGTTAACTACGAGGGTTGATCGCTTTATACAGGTGCAAAAAATAGAAAGATTTTTTAAGTCAATGAAAACAACCTATGGACGCACTATGAGAGATGTCCGCTTCAACCAGACAGGTCTAATGGAATAGGCAGTGACCGCACTGCGAGGTTTGACCGCTTTGCACAGGTCGATTAAAATAGATAGAGGTTGTTTTACGAAGGGGTGAATGCCGCTTGATTTTTTATCTAATGAAAATGTCTTGGATAAAATCGAAACACGACTTGCTTAATGACATATGCATACTATCTGTTTACACAGACCTGAGTCACAATCTATTAATATATGTTGAACTATGCTCCAAGGTATAGAATGTAATAACCACCGCAGTGTCAAAGCAAAACCAATCTGCTTCCAGATATTTGTATAATTATTAGAGCGTTTTCTCAAGRATGCGTGCGCATCCAACTTGACGGGCCACAAAATTTAAAAACGCAAATTCGGTAAATTTAAGAAGACAGTTTTAAATTTAAAGAGGAGGATAGTCGATTTTATGAATTCTTATCGATTTTTGTTTTCTTTTTTTTTTTYCCCCATAGCGATTCCATGTTCTGGTATCGTGGCCCGCCAAGTTCATTAAATTTGAATGCGCACGCAACCTTGAGAAAATGGTCTATTCGACCTTACGTCATCACATCCCACGCTACCCCATCCTTTAGGCAAGACGTTAATAAAACAAAAACGTAAATAAAACAAAAATGAAATACTATATTTCATAATTATCTTGAGTAGACGACTTCAAACAGTACAGAAAATAGTAGAGCAAATATCATTGAAATACAATAAATGGAAAAGATTTATGAACTTTAAATATATTAAGTAGAAAACTGACAAAAAGGTTTTACTAAAATATTCGCAGAAATTACTGATAAAGGATGATGCAAAATAAATAAAGAGAAAAATTTTTACTCAAAAAATTACTCTTAATAAAAGACAAAATTACGGAAATATATACATATATATGTCTTAATTTTTATACTTATATTAATCATAAAATATTTTCTCAAAAAAATACATTCTTTTGCATCTTCCTGTTTTACAATTTGAAAAATAATATTTATTGTACTTCTAACAACAATTTCTAACGGATTTCATTCAGTTAGAAAATTCCATCTTGTATTTTAAAAAATTCTAGGAATTTTTTCATCCCAAACGTAATGATTTTTTTCCATTTCCTAGCATATTAGTTTTCTATTAACGAAAAGTCCCACTAAAAAAAAAATGAATTGTTTTGGTACATAGTTTTTGATTTATTTACTTCGTTTCGTTTATATCATTTTTTAACGAGTAAACGTATTTGTTACGTAAAATTACATTCAAAATATTGAAGATTTCAAACTTCAATTTTACTTCCGACTTCATTTAGCAAGAAAAACGAAAAGATTAGAAACTGCGGGAGCCAATGTAATAATATCCTGAACTAGATTGAAGGCCATATTTTCCATCAACATTAGTTAATCTCTCTAATGAACGTAGTTTTACTAAAAGGTTTTTAAGCTGGATTCAATATAGATAAACATGATAAAGACGAGGTGTTAAAAAGAACTATGATTTTGACGATAAGTTGTTTAGTTTTTGCAAATAACCTCTTTTCTATTATTTTTTCCGTTCGGCTCTTATTTATATGCGGCTTATTTTTTACTAACAAAGTAGATTTACCAATAAAGAGGTGAATTTTTTCGTCCGGGGATGAGTTCTTCAAAATGCTGAAAATCATTCTGAGCTGACTGCGAAATGATCCTTGCGATTCTATATGTCTCCCGAAAACTAGTGTTCAATGGCTCGTCGATCAAGACTGATTTCTCGAGCACGCAAAAAAGTTTTACATTCAAATTTTCTCGCCCTTAAAAGTCTAAGCTCCCGTCTTGAGCTTCGATTATATAAAGGTTCCATTTTACTAAATGTTTTAGAACCATTTTCTAAAGTTTCAAAGTTCTAAGTTCGGTTCAAAACTGTCGAAAGATTTTTCGAGATTTTTCGAACACTGGCAATAGTCTCTCAACTCGCACAAAAATTATGTAAAGCTTTTTCCTAAGTAAAAATAACGTCTCAAAAACGATGTTAACACTATTCAATCCCCATTAGAATCATATMGAATTTTCCTCTCTTACAGTGCAATGTTGTGTTTTTTTTAATAGCCCGAGCTACGCAGGCTATTTTTATTATTTTTTTAAAAGCTTTATTAAAAGATTCAAATAAAAAAGGGCAAGCGTAACGTTAGATGGAGCAATTTGCGACTGCTATTTTTACTTCGTTGAAGAACGAGTTCAAGCTGCTCAAGGGTTTTTTTGCTTATTAAATATAATGAGGTCAAACAGTATATATTTTAGGCCTAATGAGGTGACCGTGTCTTTAAATACTTTCACATACACTACAGATAAGAAATACTCGCGGTATTGGGGGATTCCAGCAAACATTTTTATATAAATCTAGTCTACAGAATGATTGGGTAACTGTTTTGCCATCTTTTTTGCATTGCTTGGTAGAATCCAATACTGGGCCCAGCTGTACAAAGGGTGGATAGCGTTATCCAGTGAATGAATTTATTGGACAACACCATCGACTTATCCCATGAATAAGGATTTATCCGCCGGATAGCGCTATACACCCTTCGTACAACCGGGCCCTGATCTAAGAATAGTAAACACCAATATGATTATCATTTCCACAAAACAAATTATCGCTGAACTGAGGAAATTTTAGTAGAATATAAATAAAGAGAGATATAGATCTATACGACAGACAGAGAACATGCCATATTGATGGGTTGTAAGCATTCCCAAGAGAGTTAAAAGACAAAAACATGGCGGCCATTGTGGTACCGTTAACAATGGATGCTAATGAGAAATCTTTTGTTAAATGGTACCAACATGGCCGTGATGGCGTAACGTGCAATAGAAGAATATCCGTGAAAAAGTTAACTAACAAAATTCTACAAATGCCGAGTGCAAAGTTTTGTAGGTCTACGGTCTACTGAGGTCTACTGAACTTACTAATTTGTGCAAATTTGTGCAATTCCTTACAAAGCCCTTCACGAATATATATGGTATGAACTCGACTGGAATCTGTAGAGGAAAATGTCGAGAAGTAGGCCGCGCGGACATTTGCACTAATAAATCACGTGAGTCTTCCCCTAAGCCAATCAGCTGAGTCATAATGAACCTTAGAAACGGAACGACCACCTCGAATTTAGTAGGAAGGGAAAGTTTCAGTTCACAATGTTAAATAGAGGAGAAATGGCATTAACATAAAATCAAATAGTTAATTTTGGTTTGCAAGATGTCAAAAACCTGCTGTTCAGTTCGAAGATCCAGTTATAAAAAAAAAACAATTGTTGAGTCTAAAGGGACTCGAAGCAGCACTTGTCCAACCTATTCATCCGTTGACCGCTCACGTCTCGATAGCTCGTAACGCTCTTGTTTAATTAATAGTTAGATAAGAAACAACGATAAGAAACCGCTAAAGATTAAAGGCGCCATTAAACATGACAAAGTTCTAGATTTATAGACCTCCTCGGCTCGGCGTAATGTTGTCCCATTTCAGACCACGTATCATTCCCTTGAGAATAATATTCTTTGTTTGAGTTGTATCCATATTCATGTTTCTTCTCATGCGCAAACCTTAAACAAAGAAATGATACTCTAGGGAATGACACGTGGTCTGAAATGGGAAAACATTACGTCAGAGCCGAGGGGGTCTATTAACCACGTGAGGATGAGAGAAATTAGATGGTTGAGCTGAGGTAAATAAACTGGTAAGAAAATTGTGCAAATGTTCATCTGAAATTATAACATAGTGACCTATCAAAGATACTGTTTTCACATTTCAGACCACGTGTCATTCCCTTTAAGTATTATTACTTTGTTTACTATTCCATCCCGAGGGAAACTGTTTTGTTCTTAGATTACAGAACCTTATTTCCTCAATAGAACCCTTACATGCGACGTCCAAGCAGCTCAATTTGAAGGACCAAAATAAATGAATATTGAATCTCCCGAGAATTGGAAACCTATTGTTATGTCCTTCAAATTGAACTGCATTCCGACGTGCTGCAAAGGGTCTATAGAGTCACGTGACGACAGCCATGGCATGCATTGAAGCGAGACGAACGGTGAGCTTGCATTGATAAAGACATCCGTGAATAATTGCTCAAGCTGTTAAAAAAGGTCTCTATCATTGCAAGCTCACCGTTCGTCTCGCTTCGATACAAAGGCACGGCTACCTTTCAAGATGGCGCAGGGAACTTTGAATGGGACTATTGATGTACGGAACCAACAAATATTTAAAATCTGCAGAGAATTCGCTGCATTTACTTTAAGGGAAAATGCCATAGAGACCAACACGAGCGGCTAAGATTCGACTAACCAAAATCTCTTCAAAGCTGATAATAAGGTGTCATACTTGGCACTCAATACGGACAAATATTTACAAAAGACTTAACCTTCTCAGCATGGCACTTCTTAATAAGGCCGTTCACGTTAACCTGATGTAAACCATGTAATTTTAATATGCCCAGTTGTTATGACACTTGGCGATAGCAAACGAGTATAACGCTCTTAGCCGTGAGCTGCAAAAGTCATGGCTTTATTTTTATCCGCTGCTGTCTGGCAGAGATCAATGAAGTTTCTATGTCRACAGAGGTGCCCAAATTTTTGGTTGCTTTACGAAAATCGCTACGTAAAGACAACACAGCAGAAGCTACGGGTAGCATCTACAACTCATTACTTTCCTAATATATTTTAAACATATCTGCAATCCTGACATCGTTTTAATAAGATTTTCGGCTATTTTCGACACTATTTTAAAACATCTTGGCAATCGTTTGAGAGTCTGCTATCCATAATGTGCGTATGGAATCGCGTCGTTCACTGAAATGAAACTTCCAAATCTGTATGTGACGTCAAAGCAGCTCAATTTGGAGGGCAAAACGAAAGAATTTCAATCTCATGAGAATTGGACACCTATTGTTATGTCCTCCAAATTGAGCTGCATTTCGACGTGCTGCAAAGGGTCTATTGTCGATGTCATATAACACTGTTAGCGGTTAAACGTCCAATTGACGTGCAAATGTTGCACAAGTATGGTGAACTGACCACCATCAGATTGAAGTATATAATTCTGCTAGGCAAGATACGACAATGATATTTTATCACGTAATTACGGGCCTCACAGGACAGAAGAACAATAGCAGGAAAGAGCATGTTAATATTAGTAAAATTATTAAGTTTGAAGGATTTAAGTTGAATACTGTAGTTGCGAAGATATAGATTTTCAAAAATCGAAATTTGGCATGGAAACATTCGAGAGACATTCGTTGCCTATACAGCAAAGGTTTTCTTACAAAATTCACACTTTCAAAAAGCATATCTTTGCGAGTTTTGAACATATTTTCTACAAACTTCAGTTTGTACAAACTTAAGTTGGAAGGATTTAAGTTGAAAAGTTGCGAAGATATAGATTTTCAAAAATTTGGCATGGAAACATTCGAGAGACATTCATTGCCTCCAGCAAAGGTTTTCTTACAAAATTCACACTTTTCAAAAATCATATCTTTGCGAGTTTTGAACATATTTTTACACAGTTTTTACACAGTTTTACTAATATGAACATGCTTTTTCCAGCCATGGTGTTCTCCTGTCCTGTTCTGTTTAATTTCAAAATACCTGATAACAGTTCATTCAGTCCAACTTTTTCGAAACCTGGTTTTTGGTCGACCATTAAAAACTATAAAGTTGGAAGAGGAAATATCTCCTCAAAGAAATACTTTGTAGGAATAAAGATAATTTGTTTGTTATGTAAGAAATTTAAAAAGTTTAGAGAAAGAAGAATATTTAGGAAAGAAACTTATGTGATATTGCAGTCAATTAAAAAAGGCATACATCTACTGAAAAGATATCAATGGAATTTCGTATAATTCTAATGAGGGCCTCTTCTTCAACTGAATAGGACTTTTGGACGATGGCGTCATTGACCTCTACGACAAGACTCCCTTGCACACTTTCTTTTGTTCAGTTAATTAGCACCAATTGTCTTACTATTCTCATGAGGGAATACAAATTTAAATAAGAAAGAAATTTCGCGAAGCATCTTGGTAGTGGGAGTCAAATGATGACATCGTGCAAACGTCCTATTCACATGGAATAAGCCTGAAGCGAGATGACGTTTTACCCCCAACTCTATACCATAATAGTTTTTAAAATTCTTTCATATTAAAATTTTTGATTCCTTAGAGAATACAGGAACAATAGTCATAATTAAAGAGCAAAAGCAGTGTGAAAAGGATTATGGTCTAGAGACGGGGTAAAACGTCATCTCGCTTCAGGCTTATTGGAACAATTTTAATGGATAGAGGTAAAACGGGACAATCCTTAGAGTGCAACCTCATAATCTAAAATCCCTTGAGATATAAATAACAATGGAACAGCCGCCATGTTCGTTGATCTAACCAGAAAAGCTGACGTAACATGCACCCCAAAAAATTGAATGAATGTTACAACCACTTTTGAATACAAATGCCCAGAAACTTTAACCGGTTTCCCGCATTTTCGAACGAACCCTTTGCATGAGAGCGTTGTTCTCATATAGCTTGAACTTTGTATCGACAATTAACACGAAGATTCCATCCTAGACGTCCGCAAGGACTAGCGCAAGAAAGGTGCAATACGACCATCACTATTACATAGTGTCTAAAACTGTCATACCGTTAACGTTTCACCATTGCTGTCGTAGATAAGAAAAACTACATACAGGAAAAAAAGAGATAACTAGCTAAAAACTAGYGTGAGCTGCGTCGGTGTTTCTAATGAAAAAGTAATGATAAAAGGGTAAATTATACACCGTGAAAAGATGAAAAAACGTACTGACGTTTTGGACGCTAGTCCTTCGTCTGAGTAAAAAAGGAAATATTTGAAAGCTAAGCTAGGCTTCGTTGAGATATATGTACGTTTTTAACATAGTCGTATATCGTGCGAAGTCTACTGGATTTTTGTCAAAAAATTCATGCCCTACAAGGCAGAGTTTTTCCCTCTGCGGTAAAAAAAATTATCGATTTTAATAACTAAGCTCACCTATATTTGAGCGGTATCATCCGTTTACAAAGATCAAGTACAACATGGTACATTGTACGAAGTCTTCTATGTCATTTGTTTACGAGTTACCGACTGTCCTTTATAACTATCAATACGATTCAGCGACAATATAGGGAATAAATCAAAAATACATTCCTATGACTGAGATAACTAGAATGGCAGTAGTTTGAGTGGCAATGTTTTAGGGCAAACATAGGTTATGTTGAATAATCCCATTAGTAATCGCATTAAGGGTGGKTTTTTTTTTTCTAAAAAAATTCCAAATATAAACTTGTTGTTTGGGGTAATCCATATAATAATCAGACAAAGTATCATTTCAAATTCCGGAAATTTTTAAGGCTTATTAATAATAAATGTATGCCAAACGTGGGGGCTGACTGGCTCAACCGTGACTCATCGCCGGACGAGAGCATAAAGATTAGAACTAATGGCGAAAGTAGAGTACTTTAGAGTAGATATGTTTTTGTTTATACAACAAATACACAGGTTATGTAAGGGAAATGATCAAGGTCACTCACCGTTTCTCTAGGGATTTCATCTTTCTTTTTAAATATCGTATCTCATTTCGACTTCTCCTCGTCGCTTGTCGTCCTGCTCTTCCATGCGTTGAGCGTACAACACGTTCAACTATCCCTCGCGTTCGTCCCTTGTCTTTCAGCAATCCAACGACAGTATGTTCGAGAGTTTCCAATGTGGATTCAACACGGTGTAATCTTTCATTAGCCCGTGAGAGTTCAGCTAAGACTTTGGCGCTACATTGATCTCTGTTTAGAACCACAACGATTTGGCATGCAAGATACAGAGCTGTAGTAACGCACAAGATTGTTTTGCTTATCTCACCATGATGTGTGCCGGCAAGAAGAGCTAAGAATCTCGTAAAATAGAGCTTTAATTGACCCAATACTTTCATAGTAACTTGGAAACGCAGTCACTGATCAAATCCTCGATTCTGCACCAGATTTACCAAGTGATTCAGAAAAGCTTACGCCAAGGAAGGTTATCTGTTGAAACTCTGTGTAATTACCGTCGTAAACCAGCATTTTCCTTTTCTGGGCTTGATTTTGACCAACAATTTTCGACTTGAATTGAAATTCTTCTTGTTTACGCCATAACTTGTGACCAAGGACATCGCTTTAATTACCGTTCCGCGCGCGTAAAAAAATTCGAGGTCAAGAAATCCTAGCCAAAAATGTAATTCGAGTAGGATCAGAACTAGGCCAGTAGTTTACCTACCTAACTGCATATGTCATCGACCTTGTTCTCGTGTGTAAATCGGCCACAAGGATGGCACGCAAGGTCCTCTAAAGGCAATGATAGCAAATTGAGCTAATGATCGACTCGGAAAAGATCGTGGGTTCAGTCGTAAAACAGAACAATCGTTTTCTCGAGTATGGTTAAGACCAACGTCCTTGAACGCGACTTTATAGAAATCTTGCGGCTTGTAACAGAAGGCACAGAGACTTATGACTGAGTTATCCAACACCCAGAAAAGACAAGAAAAGATTTGGACATTTTGAATGAGTTAGGAAGCAACCTTGAAGGAATGATTCATGCCATATGCAAATTTGCTCAGGTAAACCGCCCTTTTGAGGTCATGTTTATGACTAGCGAGAAAATAATTTTATAAAATCTTGAAGATAACATCTTGATTTTCACGCTGGGCGCAAACTTATAATGTCTCACTTTCCAAAGTGAAGCAGTTCACTGACTTTGTAGAACTTTCTCCTTAAAAAATGCTAGCAATTTTTTAGGAACCAGATCGGACGACTCTTCTAGTGTTATATCTAGTGTTTAAAAGGTCTATATTTACGATCCCTTAAATTCTTAAGTGTTGTTTAAAATCGATAAGGATAAGGTCAAGAGAAAATGTCTCTCACGGTATGTGGTAGTTATGGCTTAGACATAGATCTGCTAGTGTTCTGCTATCTCTTTGACTTGGAAAAATGTTTAAGTGAAGTCATCAAAGAGCTCGTCGTCAGCCTCGTATTTGGCTATTCGTTTCTGGATCACTCTATCATTCACCACTAGGGATTCAATTATGGGTGGGGATTAGATACTAGTTTGGTTTTTTTTTTTTTTTTTTTTTTTTTTTTTTTTTTTTTTTTTTTTTTTTTAATTATATTAATCTTCTATGGTCAGGCTTTTAAAAAGAGACAACGGCTCATCTGTCTGGGCATGGCTAACTCACACACCAAACCCTGAAACAACCTCTGGGCT